CTTTTGCTTGGAACTCCATTTCTGAACACCACAGGAGCAAGGATGGACTTTGATACTCAAAGAGTGGTGCTTGCTAAGGTAGATGATGAAGTATCTTATCCTCTTAAGCCTCTTCTTGCTGGGTTTTGTGGAGTTATATCTGATGATTCTGATGAGTTAAAACGCTATGGGATGATGTATGTGGGGAGTATTGGAACTATAGAAGAAGCTCAACCCCTTGCAGCTGTTGAGAAAAAGAAAGAATCTCTAATAGGACCTGATCTTGAGTTTGAAGGCGATTTCTTTAGTGATGATGAAGCTTTCTTAGAATATCTATCTCCTACACCAAGTGAGAAGGAGATCAGCAGCAACAAAGGCAATGGCTCAGGGTCTCAAGACAAGAACCCACCAAGCACCAGACCATTCACTCTCGAGTCACCTTCTCAAGTCTTAACTCTCACTCCTTGGAATTTTGATGGTGGAGCTGTTGAATACAAGGTTAAAGGCAATGGAAGATCAAGACCATTTGCCAAAGTCAGAGCTATCCTCACACCAGAGTTCAAGGACAAAGGATCTGATGGTGTCCAAGAGCTGATAAACCCTAAACCCTCATTAAGAAAAGGTTCTAAAAATTCAAACTTAGTGACTTTAAACAAAGTGCTCTTGGGAGACACCCCAATCTTATCCTTTGTAAATACTTTTTTTAATGCTTTCTTTTGCTGTTTTTAGGATGTTTTGATGTTCTGTCTAAGTGTGGACAGGGTTAAGTATGGCTTAAGTGCAGTCTCATGGAACATGGAGCAAAGAAAAGGTGAAAAGGTCGGCCAATTCCGCATTCATATCGACATGCACCTTCTAGATAGTTTGGTCGATATATACATGTAGCTAGCGCCGAAGAAATATCGAACAAACTATCGACTTGTGTCACCTTGATATGGTATAAAAAATCTGAATTTCTTGAGATACCGAGGTCCTAATGCTCGATATTCTGGTCGATAATTTGAACCTATAGCACCGAAGGAATATCGACCAGAATGTCAACATTAAGCAAGTCGATATGAATGCAGCAGCTCCTTGGTTTCCAATGCTCAATGGGATGGTTCAAGCAAAACCAGACACCCACCCACATCCCTCTCCAACACTTAATCCATACAGGTATCACTCCAAACCTTGTACATAGCATTTTGCATCTTTCTTTTGATTTTTGCATCTTCTTTTCTGTTTATCCTCTTTCTTATGCTTCTATAACACAGGGGACTGTGTTATTTAAGTGTGGGGAGGGGTTTAGTGCTACTAATCATGTTTGGTTTGATCTTATTTTCTTTTTCACTCTTGAGTCTCATCTTGCATTCATGTATGTGCATATAAAAACAAAAAAAAAATTGAAAATTTTGAAAATTTTCCACAAAAAAAAAAATGCTCATGTAGTTGCATTCACATTTTTTGGATTGAGTCTAGTTGCATCATATAGGCTGCATTCTGCATGGGAGTAATGATAGGTTTTTTTTTTAGAGTAATTCACTTTGAGAATTTGGATTAAATATGCTTGTGAAATGAATTCTGTGCTTGCAAGGCTTGAAATGATCTGAATCTGAGAAGCAAGTTTGAATTGAACTCAACTCTAAATAAGTGAAAACCTTGAACTTGACTTGAAACTATCATGTGGTGCATTTTCTGAATAAGTTTGTGGATACCGATATACATACTTGAGCTAGAATCCTGTTTTTACCTCCCTCTTCCTTAGCTCAAGTAGCTGAATCCGCATATGGATCAGTTTTCCTCACCCTAATCCCACCCTTTATTCAAGCCAAATGTTTGTGTGTGATGGAAAGGCCACCTTGCATCAAACTTAGCAGAAAGTGTTAGGTTTAGAGCGACAAGGGCAAGTCTCATTGAGTGTTAAGTTCCATCAAAGAGCTGAGAGATTTGGCAAGCACTAAGTGTGGGGGAATACTTGTTGGTGAGTGGAAAAAGGAGAGATGAGTGGAAAAAGGAGAGTTGTGAAAACTAAGGGATAGAAAAAGAAAAGAAATCAGTCTTGGAGTTTTGAGTCAAAGAAAGTGAGCTCTAGTGTTTTGGATAGAAAGAGTCTAGCCTCTAAGTGAAAGGAAAAGAAAAGAAGCCAAAGAGCATAAATGTTCTAAAAAGAAAGAAAAGAGGCTAGAGGTTACAAAAGAAAGTGAAAAAGAGCTGTGTAAAGTTTGAACTCCAAGACTTTAGTGTGAAAATGAAAAGTAAATCCCCTAGTGAGAAAGAAATCAGTGTGAAAAGTGAGGTTCTTGAGAGAGTAAGCAAGTGAGAAAGCTTTGAGTACAGTGTGGGGTGGGATGAGTCCTTGCCCTTGTATGCATAGGTTGCTTTTTACCTTTAGCATTCTGCCAAAGTTTGATCATTCATAGAGAGATCCCCTTGCTGCATTGAACCCACTCAGGCATTTATGAGATCATTTTAGTCTCATAACCTCACCCTAGCCAAACCGGCTTGTTTAGACATTGCATCATTTAATTCACTTGATAAAAGCTTAATGAATGTGAAAGAGTTGAGGGAGAGGAGAACCTGTGGAAATTTCTTGTTGAGTTGATATATCTGAGTATGGTCTTGCATTGCATATTGAGCATGAACTTGAATTCTCTTAGTGGTCACTTCTCCCAAATGAATTATGAACTCCCAATGCATCCAACCTCCTTCTCTCATTTGTTCTTTTTGCTTGGGGACAAGCAAAGGATAAGTGTGGGGGAGTTGATATATTCATAATTTGCATACTTAGGTTGCATTTTTGGTCCAAATATTGAGTCTCATGCATACATTTAGGTAGTTTTCAAAGCTTTTGTCCTTATAGTTGGTTTAGGATAGGAAATGCATTAGGTCCTAGAGAGTCTTGCACTTTTGGAGTGTTTACAGGTGTTTTAGAGTCAATTTGAAGCATTTGGATCAGAAACTGTGGAGATACCCTCGTTTGGATGCATCAAACCCGGACAAGTGTATAGGAGCCGACGATCCCTCTACTTCATCGCCTTATAAGGAGGACTTTTATTGCGATTCAGCCTCCGGTGTCTTCTTAACAATTCAAGAAAGTTGCGTCTAGTTTCCACAACGATCAAGATCACTCAATTTAGACGTTGGAGCTGAAAGTTACGCCAATCAGAAGGAACACATCTCTCGCAACCGCCAAAGGACCAAAACGACGCGCCTCAGAAAACCTGTGGACCGAAGCCCTTGCCAACGTCTGCTGGACTCGGACCCTTCATAAAAGTTGTAGCTGACGGAGACATCGGGCTCATGGAGTTGACAGACCGAGGTTCGGTTCCTACATTTGGAAAGCATTTTTAATATATCATTTTGATTCCTACATTTGGAAAGCACTAGGTTCTTCAGCCCACATAGCTCACCAAAGAATTGGTGTCTTGCAACAATAGTGTAAATGGCAAGACAAGACCATCCACAAGGTGGCCAAGTGTGTGAAACTGATGAAGAAGAAGATCAAGAATCTGGAGAACCCTGGTCAAGATGCAACACCTCTACCAGCTCAAGCTGAGAACACAAGACCACCACCAGTCTGCCAGGAAGAAGTTGGAGAGAGCTCCACCACCTGCACTGCCTTGGTGATGCTCGACAAGGAGCACTGGGTGGATCCAGAAACTGTTTTCGCTGAGGAGCCTAGCTTACCATCATGGGACGATCCATCATGCTCCACCTCAAACCCCTCTTAGTCATTGGAGTCAGACCCAAGTCACTAGGTACCACTCCAAACCTTTGTACATAAGCATTTAGCATTTTTACTTTGACATTTACATTTTGTGTTTGATTTTTCCTCTTTCTCATGCATTTATTACACAAGGGACTGTGTAATTTAAGTATGGGAGAGGGGTTTAATGTCTACTAATCATGTTTGCTCTTGTTCTTATTTTGATTTGCATTTTGAGTCTGCATCTAAGTGCATAGAAAAACAAAAAAAATCAAAAAGTTGAAAAATTTTCACAAAAAATGTTCATTTAGTGGCATTCACATTTTAGGATTCAGTCTAGATTGCATTTCATATAGGTTTGCATCATATGCATAGGGAGTAATGATAGGTTTTTCCATAAGAGAACATCATTTTAAGAGTTTGATTCACTGCCCTAGTTTCTAATTCTTTGATGCATGTAGACAAGAAAAAATCAAGATTGAACCATGCTTGGAACATGTTTTTTAATGTCTCTGTATTAGTTGGATCAAGCTTTGAGTAATTCCAGCCCTGCTTAAAGTGATAACCCTGAATTTGACTTCTTAAATATCATGTTCATGCATTTGCTTGTTAATTCACGGGTACCATAGACATATTTGAGCTTTCTTATCCCTTTTTGCCACTCTTGCTAGCTCAAATAGCTGTTCTCCATTTTTGAGATAGTTACCACCCCTTGAAGTTAACCATCTTTAAAGACAAATCATTAGTGTGTGCATGTGAGGGAAAAGGGCCAGAACAAACCCGAACTAAATTTGATGTGCCAAAAAAAATCCGAACCAAAATACGGTGCCAAAAACTATCTGAATTCCAAAATAATTCAAATTTCCTATCCGAACTCTAACATAAGTGTCAAAATCTACCTTGACTAACTTTGATGTTAGTCAACTGTTCAAAAACGCTGACGAGGCATGACGGAATATGACTTGGCATGAAACATTGTCACTTCACTAAAACGATGTCGTTTTTAATAAAACAAAAAAAATTTAAAAGTTTTCCTCTTTCCTGGATTTGAACCCAAGACACTATATACCATATCCAATGGCGCAGACCAGTTGAACCACGAGACATTATTGCTATTGGTTACAAATACATTTATATATTATTGATATGCCTGTCTAAATTCGAAAAAAAAAAACAACGACGTATTCAATTAGGGATAAATAAAACTCCAAAAATCCAATTAGGGTTAGACAGTTCTTCTTCTTTATCGAGTTCCATTGTCAGAGCATTCAGAGGCTGCAATTAAGATCACTGAATCCGCTGGCGCATGCTCTGTAATCGTCTCAGATCCAGTTCGATGACGCGCTGGTGCCGTCGGATGCCGGATCCGGTACTCGTCAAAGACGTGAAGCGAATGGTGTCTGTTCCGGTGATGGCACACGCTTGCGTCGGTCATTTCATGGAAGCTCAGACCTTGGAATCTCTCGCCGTCGATTATTTGACAAGAGTGAGATCATCTCGGTCGCAGACGAAGACGAAGCAGATGGGAAGGGTTCCGGTGGTGCAGTTCGCATCAGGTAGGAACACGTCATTTTGTTTTTTTTTTTTCGAATTTAGACAGACATATTAATAATATAATAATGTATTTGTAAAAAATAGCAATAATATCTCGTGGTTCAACTGGTCTGCTTGCTTGGATATGGTTTATAGTATCTTGGGTTTGAATCCAGGAAAGAGGAAAACTTTTAATTGTTTTTTTTGTTTTACTAAAACAATCGTTTTAGTAAGGTGACATGTGTCATGCCAAGTCATATTCCGTCATGCCTTGTCAGCGTTTTTTAACAGTTCACTAACATCAAAGTTAGTCAACGTAGATGTTGACACTTATATTAGAGTTCAGATAGGAAATTTGAATTGTTTTGGAATTTGGATAGTTTTTGGCACCGTATTTTAGTTCAGATTTTTTTGGCACATCAAATTTAGTTTGGGTTGGTTTTGGCCCTTTTCCCGTGCATGTGAGGCCTCTTTCTGAGCAGACTTGGTAAAAAGTAATGGGTCTAGAGAGATAGATATAGGGCTGCATGTAGATTCTAGTCCATCATCAGGACTAGTTTAGGATTGGTTGAGGTTTGGATATTGATTGAGCTTTGAGCTGAAAGGCTAAGTGTTTAATGAAAAAGAAACTCACCACGTGTTGAAAATAAAAAGAGGATTCCCCTAGAGATGAAGTGAAAGAAATGAATGAGAGTTGGTGATCATCAAGGCAAAACACCTTTGGGAAAAGGGTAGCTTAGAAAGAGAGAGAGAGAGATGATAGTTAAGAGATTTTAGGTCTCAGGGCTATCAATCCCCTTTGTCGAAGTAGCACAAAGAGGTATCAATCCAGACAAGTCAACGAGACACTAGACTATGATGTTTGTTCATTTAAGTCAAGACAAAAGGTGAAGGTTTCGAACAAAGCTAAGTGACAAACGACTAAGCATGAAAGGTAAAGCAAATGATTAGATCTAAACAGAGACAGGATGCAAATAATAGCTAAACGATTCAGATGATGATAATATGTAATAAAGCAAGGGACTTTAGACGAGATACTTGATTCGGGTGCTTCCAAGTTCAACTAGTTGGTTAATGAATCAAAACATCAAGCGGTTTCATTTAACTTTGAACTCAAGGCATGTTAATCTTCTCATGAAAGTATTAAGCATCTAAACTGATTCTCCTTCATACCAAAAATGTCTTTTGAGAAGCATCGAATCAATCAGCAATAAGAGTCAGTTCAAAAATGTCATTTAAGAGAACAAACTATCACTCTCGCGATGAAAGACTCTTAAACCCATAACCGAGTGGTTCAGACATTTCTACAAACACTTTTGATGCAAGATATGTCTCAGATCTGAACCTCAAGTGATGTGCTTGGATCCAGCCTAGAGATCTCGTCGGTTAAGGAATGAAACATGCAAGACTAGACACCTAAACCCACTAATCTACCTTGAAAGCACCCTAATCTACTCATCTAAAGCCGCTTAAACGACTACTCACTAATCATAACGAGCTCATTAAGTCTTTTGCAAGGCGTGTAGCTAGTCATGATGAGGAGTTTAATGTTAGATGATAAAAGAAATAAAGAAAGAACAAGATTTTTCATGCAAAAACGAGATATCGGATTAGAATGATCAAGGTTCACCAAAGAGGCAAGTTCTTAAAGCTAAAAACAGATAAGAGATAAGATTCTTAGGTTTTTAGTCTCAAAATGTATATATAGCAAAGGTAAAGTGTCGCGGGTCAGCCCGGAACAAACCGGGTACTGAACCGCGTTCTTGGGCTGATGGGTGAGTGCCACGGTGTGTCGGAGAGTGAAGCCGAGGTCTTTATGTCGAGGAGCGCACGTGAGTCCAGATCCAAATGAAGATCTCGTGAAGAACACGTCAAGAACATGCATGAACCCTAGTCTTTGATCCATCTTCACGTGTGTGTTTTTGAGCAGCTTTGTTCTTGATTCTGGGCTTGTGACAATGGACCTCGGGATAAAATGCTGAGGCGCTTGGACGTCGAGGGGTTCGGGAGAACAGGGTCCGGCATGCACGCCGAGGTCGCTATACCGAGGTGCATGTTCAACACTTAGTCGTTTCCAGCTCCTTTCTTACGTGTGCATGCCTTGATCCCAACGTGCCGAGGTATCTGTACGAGGCCTAGCTCAGGATACTTCCAAAATATGAGCCTTGACTTGGCCGATGTCGAGGTAATGATGCCGAGCCCTGAAGAAACACTTAGCGCGTATCGCAACATATTTGGGCCCGTATCGACCATGTCGCCTTCCGGCGGCAGTAACTTTCGACCCACGACTCCGAATGCTCTGAGACCAGTTTCATAGTCAAGGTGACTCAATAAACTCGAACTTTGGTGAAGAAACCGTCGGAGCTTGGGTAGTGGAAGTCTTCCTGGACTTCACATCTTTGAACCGCATCGAAATCACCGGAAAATAAGCTGTTCGGACCGATGTGAACTCCGGAGATTTTATCTTTCAAACCACTCGTCCGAGTTGAGCGATCCCTACTGTTCTGAAAAGGTCTTTCACAGATCTCAAACTTTGATGAAGACCGGGTAAGCTGATTTGGTCCGGAAAGGCTCCGTCCGCCGTGACCTTTGTACTTCGCCGTTCAGTTCTCGGATGCGCGTAATGTTGATGTATCTTCCGGAAGCTGTATCTTTCTCCCTACTGGTCCGAATTGGATGATTCTAACTGTTCTGGGATCTTTGTTTTATTATCTCCAACTTTGCTGAAGACCCCGCCAACTGATTCGGACCGGAAGGTTCCCCGGATTTCTGATCTTTGAATTGCGCAGACAAGGACAGATTTTGGTCGAGAAAGGCTTCCCGCGGTAAGAAAAATGACCGAGGGCTGTGTACCGCGGTGAGCTTTTTGGTCGTAAAAATTCTTTCGCTTCGGCCAAAACTCGACCCGCGGTATTAACGCCTGATCTTCGACCCAGGCTGACTTTGGTCAATCGGTACGGACTTTGGTCGGTGCTGAACGATCGGTAAGCTTTTTGGTCGAGGTTGGACGATCGGTAAGGATTTTGGCCGGTAATGAGCGATCGGTAAGGATTTTGACCGAGGTTTCTGTCCGTCCGGTACGCGATTTGGCCGAGAAATTCCTCCAAGCGGTTTTCACCATTTTTGACCGTTTTCTTCACCGTCTTCTTCTCTGCTTCTCTTCTTAAGCTCCAAATGACTCCCAAAGCACCTGATAAAGACCTCAAAACATGCAAAACTCTTTGGGACCTAATGCAAGCCCTAAATCCTATTTTCATGCCTAAAGACTCAATTTACATGGGAAAACACATGATGAGGACTCTAAAATGCACTCTAAATGATGTAAAATATAGACATATCAACTCCCCCACACTTGTCCTTTGCTTGTCCTCAAGCGAAGAGAACAAATGAGAGAAAGAGGTTGTAATGCAGATGGAGCTCATATTTCCTTTTTAGAAAGAAGTGATCACAAGGAGAACTCGGATTCATGCTCAAATATGCAACGTAAAGCCATACTCAGATATTCTACAATTAAAGCACAGAATCTCCACAAGTCATTATCACATTCAACTCTTTCACATTCATTAAGCTCGTAACCGGTGAATCAAATGATGCAATGTTCAAATAGGCTGGCTTGGCTAGGGTAAGGTCATGAGATAAAAATGATCTCATCAATATTCAAGCGGGTGTAATGCAACAATGGGATCACTCAATGAACGACCAAACTTTGGCAGAATGCTAAAGGTAAAAAGCAACTGATGCATACAAGGGCAAGACTCATCACACCCCACACTCCACTCAAAGCTTTTCTTACTTGCTCACCCTCTCAAGATCCTCACTCTCTTAATCGCTTTCGTTTTCACTAGGGGACTCACTTTTGTTTTGATTTTCAAGCCTTTGGTGTTTACTTATTCAAACAGCTCTTTTCTTTTCTTTTTAGAACACTTGAGCCTTTTTGGCTTCTTTTCATTTCAAAGACTATACTTTTCTTTTTAGAACAACAGAGCTCTTCTTTTCAAATTCAAGACTCGATTCTTTTTCTTTCATTCCCCTAGCTATCTCCATTCTCTCTTTTTCTCTCAGCTCACCTTTTTCCACTCACCAATAGATCTTTTCCCCCACACTTATTTCTTGCCAATACTCTCAGTTCCTTGATGTTGGAACGTAGCACTCAATGAGACATGCCCTTGTCGCTCTAAACCTAACACTTTCTGCTAAGTTCAGTCCAAGGTGGCCTTACAATTCACACACAAACATTGGCTCGAAAAGAAAGTTGGGTTCAAGGTGAGGGAACTGATCCATGATGCGGATTCAGCTACTTGAGCAAAGGAAAAGAGGGTGGTAAAAACAATGATTCTAGCTCAAGTATGTATATCGGTATCCACAAGCCAATTCAAGCAATGCATCAAAAGATATTTACAATTCAAGTTCAGGGTTATCACTTAACTAGAGTTGAGTGTAATTTAGACCTGCTTCACAGATTCAAATCGTTTCAAGCTTTACAAGCACAGAATGAGTTTCACAAGCATATTTAGTTCAAGTTCTCAAGTGATTTACTTTCTAGGAAAAAAAAAAATCTATCATTGCTCCTTGCATTGATGCAGTCCTAAATGATGCAACTAGACTCGATCTTAGAATGCGAGATGCAACTAGGATGTTAATGATGCAAAAGTCATTAACTAAATGAGACTCAAGAATGCAAAAGTCAAATAAGAACAGAGAAAACAAGATCAGAAAACACAAAGCTCCTCCCCCACACTTAAACAACACAGTCCCGTGTGTTATAGAAGCGTGTGAGAGAAGTAAAAAGACGAACTAAACGAATGCAGAATGATATACACAAGATGCATATGTACAGGGTTTGAAGTCGATACCTTAGTCGGAGAGGTCTGATCCCAAGTAGTACGAGGGATTTGATGTTGAGCAGGAGGGTGTGGACTGACGTGGCGGGCTGCTATCCGAGGGTTCAGGTAAGAATGCCAAGGCAGGGTTGATCCAATCCTCTTTGCCTGGTGGAAACTCCGGGTTCCTTGCGTTTGAGCTT